TTTCCATAATCTTGTGAACTCATAATTCTAGAGCTTCATGTGTGGGTCATCTTCCTTTGAAAACCTAAGTCATTCTGTCTTTATTAGAACTTGCACTTTATGCTTCAGCGAAGTACAGTTCTCAGTTGAAATAACCTATAGCTCCTGCATGGTAATCACAGAGAACTTGTAGGTCGTACCACTTTGGATAAAGCGGTTGCAACGGTTCTACGGGTACCGAAGCTAATAGATGACTTTGAAATAATTGGGATAATAGCTCGATATGGGATATTGGGATTGGATGAAAGCTCACTCGCTTTAGTTATCTCCGACTACTATGATTGTCTGGTAATGTTGGCAATCTTAGTTGTGGGTCATACTGCAGAACCAATGAGTTTATAGGTAATATAAACGGATTGTATACCGCAGATCCTTGTTGGTGCCTTCACTTGCACTTCGAGATTACTGTCTTGACTTTATTTTTCCTTTTAATAGAGTTTCTATTCGTTTTAGAATGTGGCTCTTTATCAATTAAAGGCACTGGCAGTTGTTCAGTTGCTTCTCTCCATCTTTGAGCATACTCTTTCTCTGCAATTTCTTTTTCTATTCTCTGTTGAGTATGGATCATACCTATGTCATGCTTGTCTTGATTTAGAAAGGAAATAATTTCTTCAGCTTCTTCAGCATTTCTATTGGTAACATTCTCTTTTCTTTTACCTTATAAATTATTTGAGTCATTTGATGTTTGTCCATCTTGGAATGTAAATTCAGCTTGACAGATTGTAGGAGCTTGTTGGCCTTTCTTGGAAAGTTGATCTTCATGTGACGAATTATGTTGGGAGAAGCCCTCTGTTGGTTGACAGAGAGGTGGGTCGACTCTAGGTGATGAATTATTACGAGGTTCGACTAAATTTTTTGGTTGAGAAATGCCCCCAATTGTAATATTCTTCTCTAAGATATTGCAAATATTTTTTATTTGCTATTAAATCTTACTGATGTCTTGTCTCATCTTCTTTAGCTCAACATTTTGTATCTCTGTGACATGTTCTTGGACCTCGTCTCTCATTTTCTTTAGCTTAGCATTCAATTCTTCCATGGCTTGTTCGTGGATTTCGTCTCTAACTTTCTTTAGCTCAGCATTTAGTTCTCCCATGTTATGATGCTTTATGTACCTTGTATATAAAGAATGGTAAATATGTGGTTATTGAACTATTTTTTTTAAAGAAATAAATGAGAATTATTATCGATGATGTAATGCACAAAAATTTTTGAAATAATATTTTAAAATGGAAATTGATATGCATGAGATGATGTTATGCAAATGTTGGATCACAAATTGATGGAAATTTAAATGATTATGTGAAATAATGCTTGCGAAAATAATGCTTCTTTTTATTCAAAAAAAATATATATATGGACATATTAAACGATGCATGAGAAAGACATATAATTTTTTTTTAGTGATGCATGGGAACCATGGACATGTAAAATGATATATCTTTATGATATGGAAACATGAGACATGATACATGAGAAAGACATAGAGTTTTTTTTAGTTCAATTTTCCTTAATGAAAAAAAAATTATTTAAATATGCTACAAAGTGCCCTAATGATATCATACATATCATGTAATTATTTTTTTTTTGAAACAATATTTTATGCAATTATTAGTGCATGTAAATGCAATGCTAGATTCTAACTCACCCTAAGAGAGAGACATGAATATGCATGACATTTAATTCTAGAGGATAATGACCCACAAATCTTCCATATGCTTTTGCAGTATGGTTGACTTTGAGTGGAGAATTTCATGTGCCAGCACGAGAATCGAAATTCTACAAAGGTCACACACTATTTAGTCTCCGATCTAATCCTAAGGGTAAAACTCGAGTAGGAGGCTTGTGAGTTTGTGTGAAATGTATGACCATGCAAAATCAAATTAATCACTATACAATAGAATAACTACAATGATACAATATAAAAGCAAACAACAAAGCAGACCCAAACATAACAAAATAAAAGGTTAATAAATGACAAAATAAATGACTTGACTCTCTTAAAGTCTCCAGTAGAGTCGCCAAGCTGTCGCAACATCATCATGACGCGAAGCGGCCGATGTTATCACCTAAAGAGTCTCTTTCGAGATAAGGGTCTGGAGTCGCCATCAATCATCTACGAAATGTGATTTATCACCTATTTAAAAAAACTTGGTCTACGAAAACAGAATTTTGGTTTTGGAGCCGGTTGTACGTAGGAAAGGTGTTAGCACCCTACGACACCCGTTCGGAAACGGTACCATATTTTGTCGAAAATTATCCTATTATTTTATTTGGTCCAACAAAAAAAATATTTTTGTATTTTGATTGAAATATCACACGTTATATTAATTCACACTTCATATATGAATTATAATAGGTATGAGTGGCATGAAAGTCATTAGAAAAAATTTAACACCTCGAGAATATTGAAAAGTTCTAATTTCCATCATTGGAGTTTTCGAAATAATTATTCAGTAAAACAATGATAAAAGAATAATAAATAAATAAAATCAATCTTTTTTTAAGGCACACAAGGACGGGAACTTGGGCCACCAATATTAATACCCAAGTCCCTTACCAATGTGCCAACACCTTAGGATACAAATTAAGTTTCTTTTTTAAAATACAAACTTTTTATTTTTAAACTTTGTTAAAAAAAACAAAAAAWTTTTATTTAAAAAGAAAAAAACCTTTTATTTACTTGAAGTTTGAAATTCGTTTTAAAAAAGAAAATCTCTTATTTAAAATCAAACTTATTTAAAAAGATATCTTATTCATTTTTTTACTTTTATTTTAAAAACAAACTTTTACTTAATTTCAGATATGACATTTATTAATTTTAAAACAAAAGTCTTTGAATCTCTTAAAACTTATTTAATAAAAAAAACTTTTTATTAATTTGAGATTTATTATTTCTCTTTTAAAACTTATTTAAACTTGATTTAAAAGATTTAAGAACAAAATATTTATTTTAAAAGAAAATTAAAAACGAAGAATAAAACGGTAGGATTCACATTTTTATTTAAAAAATAATTTTTAAAAACAAATTAAAATTTTATTTCTTTTTCGAAAACTTACTTAAAGCATATTTTAAAAAGTTTGTTTCTTATTTTGAAAGATTTTGTTTATTTGAAACAAAACTTAAAAAGCGGAAGCTGGTGGGCATGTGACGCCCGACTAGAGAGGAGGGGGTATATGAATGTACCGATACCACATCCGAATGAGAAGGATCCTGAGATCATGGAAGAATGGTCAAGAAAAGTTTAAAAGAATTGATAGTCACTCCCTATACCAACAAAGTGCACCTTCCTTTTCAGTGGCTCAATTGTAAGAAAATTTTATGGCTTTTATTTTAGAACGACTAGGATTCCTTTAAATTTTCATACTCTATCTTCATACAAAATTGACATTTTTTTAATAAATAATTTTGCAAATTTTCAAACCCCTCAAAGAAATTATTTCAACCACCCCGTCTCATTTGATAAACAAAAACCAAGACTTAAAAAGATGATGGATTGACTCAATTGAATTTGATTGACAATTGACATCCACCCATGATGTTTTACTTGATCAAAGGCATATAAGAAATATTTTTTCGATTAAAAATTTTTATTCTTACTTTTCATCACAAACTATATTTATTATACTATCAATTGGTTAAATCATGTATTACGGATCAAAAGATCCTCAAATAAAAATTAAATATTTACTCTCTCTCTTGAAATTTGACTCCACATCTGTTTTACTAAAGAAATATTATACATAAAATTAGTAAAAAAAAGCCATGATTTCATATTTTATGAGAGTTGTGAAAGTAGTGGTATAATAAAAGTAATAAAAATTGAAAATTTTAATATTGAAATTCACCGACATATATCTACTTTATTTTAAAAGCATCAAGTTTTATTACTTAAAGGAAGAAAAAAAGAAAAAGAGCATTCCAATAATATTCTTATAAATTTATCGAAAGTAGAATGGAGGATATATTTTAAAATTTTCTCAAAATTATATAGTATTTACTATATAGTGTTAATACATATTTATTATCTGTTAATTAAATTATAATATTTATTAAGTTAAAATATACTGGCAAAACCTTTTTAAATCTTAAAAACTATTTTAATATTATAATTTTTTGTTTATTCATTGATTGAATTATAATATGCATTATTAAAAGCACTTTTATAGGTTAAGAATACTAATTACTCATTTTTATTTTAGTGAACAATTACCTATACTTGTACTAAATAAATTAGGTAGATATATCTTGTTAGTTTTCTTAAAAAAAAAAAGAAAGGATTTTTTTTTAATAATTAAAAAAATATTTTTAATTAAGATCCATATAGAGTCTCATCAAACAACTAACTTTAATTAGTTAAAATATATATCATCGACTAAAAAATTAAAAGTTCGAATCTCCATTCCATACATTGTTCAGCTCAAAGCAAAACATTATAATATGAGTTTATAATAATACAACTCATATGTTGACTTTTCTTTTTACTATATAATTTTGTTTATTTTTAATTATTTAATTAAATATTATTAATATTTAAAATATAAATAATTCTTAATATCTTCACTAACTTTTTTTTTTATAGGAAGTTTTTTGAATGGTATTAAATTCAAGAAATTGAAATTTGTTGGATCTATATGATATTTTTTAAAATTTGGGATTTATTAGATAAAATTGAAAAGGGAAAATTTTATTAGACACAAAATTTAAAATTTATGGACCTACTAGATACTTTTTATAAATGATTTATTAGATGCCGGTTACTATTTTATTTTTTATTTTCTAAAGACAAATTTCCCATTTGTTTTAAACATACACTCAACTCAACTAAAGGAGATGGGAAATGAAAAAGAAAGGAAGGAGAAAAAAAGGAAAAAAAATGGGAGGAAGAAAAAAGAAAAAAGAAAAAAGAAAAACAGAAGGTCAGTTTTAGAGATGAAAAATAAAGATCCAAACTTTTGTTTAATTTAGAATAACTACTGAGTGCCATAATTAGCTTTCATTCAACAAACTAATTCCTCAAATTTTCTTCCCTTTTCCCACATCGTCTCCCTCCCTCTCCTCTGGTCTTCGTATTTATTCTTCAACCCCTCACCTGGGTCTTCTTCAACAGCTTGGACTCTCGTTTTCCGCCTAAATTTATTAAGGTATTACACTTTTCTTCTCTATTCTGGATTTGGGTTTGTTCTGTTCTGTTTGAAATTGATCTTGATTCGTGGGAATTAGATTTCGTCGTTGCCAATTGTTTGATTTGGTTATTATGGGTCTGCCCAAAATGAATGTCGTGTTCTTATTTTGAAATTTCCTTTTTTGGTTTGATTGATAAAAGTTTGGGATTCTGAAGCTGATTCTCAATTTTCTCGGATTTTAGAAGGGTTTCTTGTTAAGATCGGCGAATTCCATTGTGAATTTCGTTTACTTAGTTAATTATCTCCTGCCCTGAAACCCAAATCTCAATGTGGGATCGTGGAGATTGAATCGCAATTGGATCAGTTACTTTTTGGTTGATTTAATGACTATTATTGATATTGTTCATCTGATAAACTTGTAATATGCCATGCCACTTGTTTGATTTGGATTTGATGTTACTTTTTCTGGAATCGGATTTCTGCATCACAATAAATTGTACGGAGGAATGTGTCTTTGGCTTGTTTGATTCGCTTGTTGGTATTCTGTTATTGGTTTCTATCTTTCAGTTCTCTGTCGTCATAATAATTTTTTAATACAGAAGAAGAAAGCTACATGGATAACATATATGCAAAATGTATTTTTCCATCTGTTTAAAAATAGAAAGCATGTTTTTCGCTGGTTTTTTTCTTTTCTAGGAAAAGGCTAAAACTACTATGGTAATTGTTCTCGTTTTAATGTTGGAAAGAAAGGATTTGCAGTGGGAAATATGGGGACGATTAGTAAGTTCTCTCTTGTATCCTTTCATTTGTTCTCAATGAAAGTTGTGTTTTTTGATATAAAAAAAAAGTTATGCCTTTGTATAGAGTGAGTGTAAGGAGGGAATGTAAGTGGGTATAGAAATGTCTGGAGAGGAAAGACTGGAGGAAGAGTTTTGATGTATAAGAAAGGAATGCAAATATTATGGAAAAAATAATTTTTTTGGAAAAAAGTTTTTCATTCCCAAGAAGTGTAAGTAACAATAGTGATAATGTTCAAAGGAAAAACTTCCTCATTTTCTATCAGCTAGATTGGTTTTCCTTTGAAAGGATATAGGAAAGAGAAGACCAAGGTTATATCTTCTTCCCCCGTTCTTGTGTGCAAGCTTAAGCTGCTAAGTTTTTTCAACTTATCTTTGCTGATGCATAGAAGATTGAAAAATTGATGTTGTTGGGTTTATGTGGTCACAGTCCTGCTCCTGGGGATAAAGCTAAGATCTTGTGGATCCAGATTTAGTTCTATTTGATGGGATTTATGGATTGAAAGGCATAAAAGGATATTCAATGATTTGTATTCTAAATTTGATCTACTTCAGGAAGTTATAGTTTTTGTTTATTTTCTTCTTAGTGCCTTATATACAAGTTCTTTTCCAATCTTGCTTGTATATTTCAGCTATCGATGAAATAGTTTACTATCAGAAGAAAAGAGAGAGTACAGAGTAAGTACGATGAGGACGATTATTCATGTTTAATGTAAGTTTTGAAATACCAAAGTATAGAAGTTTGAAAGCAACCATTTATCTTTACTAGTTTTTTGAAATAGTATACAAATTTTAATTTTTAAATGTGTTTTCGGGAATCGAAAATGAATCAACTTCATTTTTGAATAATTGAACATCAATTGGAAAAATGACGTTAAATGGACCTCGCTATTGTTATTGAACTTTGTGATCAAGAGTCCAAGACCCCTCAAATAATATTTGAAGTTTTCTCTGAAGTGCTTGAGAAATAAGCTACAATCATTATGGAGCATGGGAATTAATGAACTAGAGCAAAATTATGGATTGGGAGGAGGTAGTTTGTGATAGAAAAAAAAAGGTGATAGACCCCAGTAAGCAGGTGTGTAAGCGTGTAAGCGTGTGCGAAATCGAGGGCTGTGTGAGAGGGAAGTTTTCAATATTGTGTGGGGCCCATAGTATACTGTTAGTTACATGAAGGGCCAAGGGAGTTAGTTGGTGAGGGGGAGGTATCTTTAATCTCCCCATGGCCTGTAACACTGTCGATAAAAAATTGGTGGTTAAGGCCTGCCAAAAACCATAATGAGGTACTGTGTGACAATTTTGTGGCATGTGAGTTTGTAGTTTTTTCTCCCATCTGCTTCTTGCCCTTCATTATCTTTACTAAGAGAATATTGCTTAGACTCAAGATTGGTTTTCTAGTTCTCCTTACTACAGCATATATTTACTGAAATGCAAATGATTGTGATTGTGTTTTACCAGAAAATTTTTTATGTTTTCTTTCTTTCAAGAAATGACCAAATGGGACAATTTCTTCTTTAACTGAATTCATTTTGTCTACAAACTAAGGTGCTTGGAGCAAATGGCCTTGGTTACCACTGCAGAAGTTTGTGATGCTAATCCACAGCTCATTCTGAGTGGTGAACTTCGGGCCCTTGAGCCAATTTTCCAGATATATGGCCGACGCCAAGTCTTTTCTGGACCGGTAGTCACACTGAAGGTATTCGAAGATAACGTCTTGATTCGTGAGTTCCTCGAGGAGAAGGGTAATGGCAGAGTTCTTGTTGTGGATGGGGGAGGTAGTAAGAGGTGTGCAATATTGGGTGGCAATCCTGTTGTCCAGGCTCAGAACAATGGGTGGGCTGGTATAGTTGTGAATGGATGTGTTAGAGACGTGGATGAAATAAACGGTTGTGATATCGGGGTTAGGGCTCTTGCTTCACATCCAATGAAAGCCTACAAAAAGCGAATTGGAGAAAAGCACGTCCCATTAACTATAGCCGGGACAAGGATCATGGACGGGGAGTGGCTGTATGCAGATACTGATGGGATCCTGGTTTCACGAACCGAGTTGTCTGTTTAGAGCACTGTTGTATGACTCCCTTCAAAAGATTTTGATGGCAGGATGATATTGTTATATGAGGGCGAGGGCGAGGACGAGAGCTTGTCAGTAATGCTGTTGATGTCTACTAGTTGACCCTAAAATTCAACTCCTTTGTTATATTTATGACTTAAAAGTATGTTATGCTTGAGCTTAAAATGATGTTGTGTGCTGCTGATGAACTACTGCATTTGTATCTTAATAGTTATGTGGCCTTTGTGGTTGTATACAACATATCTTGTTACACTCAAGTCTTATCAATGAAAAATACTTCATAGAAGGAAGATCCATTTTCCTTCTGAAAACTTGTTAATTTAAAACCCTTGCTATCTCCTAGAGTTAGATTTTGGGAGAGCGAATCTTCCTGTTACATAGTAGGGGTGAGCATGGGCTCGTGATACTTTAGATATCGGGAAAAAACGAAAGAAAACGAGAGATTAGGTGGGGATGGGAGAAGTGATCTTTCTCATCTACTTTGAAAGAAAACAGGAGGAAAATCTTCATAGATTGGTGATACTATTTTAAATGAAGTACTTCTTACAGACTCGGCCTTTTTTTGTTTTCTGGAAGACATATTTGTTTAGATACCACCAGCACATGACAGATAAAAAGAGCTTTTGGGCTGCAGCAAAGCAAAGCAAATGCAAGGAAAAAAGATAGGCTGATTCCAGGTCAGAAACTCCATTTTCCATTTTAATGTATTCTTTTGTGGTCTGCAATTGTTTGGCTTTTAAGTTTCAATAGATTACTTGATCATGTTGATGGCACCCACCTAAAAATGGTATTAGGTAGTATAGGGGCCATGTATCTTTTTGGCTTATTATTTATGGAGGAATAGTGTTTGGAGAGATTAGGGTGCTCTCGAATTTTCCCTTGGCTTTGTAATTACCTCCTTGAACATAAATAATAGAATTGAAAAACTTAGGGTTTGTTTGGTTGGAAATTCGAATTCTGTTTTTTATTTCCATATTCACTGAATCAAATAGATTCAGTTTTTATTTTCGGATTCTATGATCCAAACAGTATAAATTCTGAAAACGATTTTAAGATGCAGAATTACATTAAAAATGATAAAAACTTTGATAAATATATTATTTCATATTATTATCTCATTTTATGTTTGTTAAAATTTAAACAGGTAAAATATAATGTATTCTAAATTATATAACCTTGTAAAATAATAATTATACAAAATTCATAAAAATATGTTAATAAATTAATTAATATAACTTTAGATTAAACTAAACATTTAGTTTGTAACTACCTCTAGTTTACAAATGTATTACTAAACAAACCCACATTGAACAACTTTTTAAATTGAGATTCAATTACCAAATCTGCTACCAAACACATATCTGAAAATACTGAAAACAAATAAAGAATACAACTTTCAACATTGGTTTTCATTGTTTCAAATTTTTGTTTTTTGATTCCCAACCAAACGTATCTTTAATAACTTTTAAATCCTTGTTGTCTCTTGGAGCTTACTTTTGTCGATTAGGCGAAACCTCCTAAAAAATTAGTGAAGATGGACTATGAGCTTAATGAAAGTAATGGATCTCTCGATACCTCGAGTATCCAAAGAGATCAAATTAGAGGCATGCATGAATGCTTGAGTTTCTTTGGAGTGGCAGTGGGAGAAAATCTTTGCCTTTTCTTTTTCTAAAAAAAGGTAATTTGCTGGATAACCTGATAAGCCTTAAAAGGCTAAAAAGAATAGATTTGCCTGCGTAGTTGAAGGTTATTTAGGATGAAAAATGCATGATGTTGAATCTATCTTAGCGAAAATGTGCGTATTTTGTGATTAAGGACTTGGTGGGTATTTAGTTATAGGTAAATGAAGGTTAATTAGTGTAAATATATTTATTTTGTAAGGAAAATTGAAGATTTATGATAAGAATGCGCCGACCATGTTACTTTGAAAGGTCCAGCTTCACAATGCTTCCGAGATTTGGTCTCACTTCCTAAGATCTCTACAACAACGAGTGGTTACCAATTTTGCATGGAATTATCAAACACTTTGTTACCTCCCAAGCCTATAAATTGAGCTCCCAAAGATCATCTAAACACACTTCATTTATGCTTTTGTTTTTCCTTTCTACTTTGTTATCAAACTTTAGTTTTTGAGTTTTTGTTCTAGCATTTAAGTTTTGTTCTTCAACTATTTTTCTACAATTATTCTTTGTTTATTTTATTGCAATTCAATTTATTCCAATTTTGTATTTTCTTTCCAATTCTAATGAAAATGCATTCTTTTGTTATATTCTCTTATTAGTTCAATTATTTTACTTCCATGAGTAACTAAATTATTTCTTTAACCCTCCTACGAATGCTTTAGTTCTTATCATTAATAATTACATCTATCAGTGAGCACGACGTATTACGCTCCTTTGCTTATCTTGATTGATCTAATTTATCCAGTTGATTTTCAAATCATGTTAGTTTGATTTTAATTCTGAAAAGATTAGAGTCAAACGAATTTCATCAAGGTAAAACGGGAAGTTACTTAGAAATAAGAACTCAAACAAGATCTTAGATATAGGCTCTCTTAACTGTTAAATGTAAGTTCAAGTTTGTTTTATTTAGGATTCTAGTGTTTCGTAGATATATGAAAATACTATCTTAAGCTTCTAAACAAATCAAAAGCGTTATGGAATAGGAGTTGGACYCAATTTGCATAAATTGAGCATAGTTACGGGTACATTTGGTAGGTGTAATTCATCTTTTTAGAACTAAATCTTAGTAGGGGGTGACTTTTTTAATCAATGTGTTTTTAAATTGTGTTTCTCAACATATGCACTAAATTTTTATCCCAAACTTGATTGTTCATTCAAGCGGTTTACAAATTAAATTTTTAAAAGAAAACTAGTCTATGTGGAGACGAACTTGGAATATTTTCATATTATTACTTGTGACAGTATGCACTTGTACTTACCCTCGAGCTATTAAGTAGTGGCACAACACGACCCTTCAAAACTTTACCGAAGCTAAATGGCTATTAAGTTTAATGAGTTTTTGGGAAGCAAGTGTTTGATTAGACCTCTTAAACGTGAAATTTACTGGGATGAGAGACTTAGTTATCTCCTTTATTGAGATTTACTTCATTCATATTCTTTGTCTCTATTAAGGAGACATTTTATGTAGCTGTCATTGGTCTCTTATAGTATTTACTTCCCCTTCATCTTCTATTTCTATTTGTATCTATTTTGTCGCTTTTAAGTTTTAGAAAGTTTCAATTAATCTCTAAATTTTGGGTCTAATAAATTTTTATTGTTAACTTTATTAGTTTTACATGTTTACCTTTTAATTAGAGATGATGTAAAGCAATAGAACCGTGATATTTTTCTAGTATGTTAGTCCGTCTGCCTAGAATTAGTCCTCTTGGCATGCTTTAGTTGTCATGTTGCGCCAGGATGATCTCTAATTGGTATAGTTAGGTGTTCTGTAAACACTAAATTGATGAAGTTAATGACAAAGACGTATTAAATGCATAATTGAAATTTAGAGCTTAATTAGAACTTCTTGAACTTTAAAGACTAAAATAAACACAATTTTGAAAGTCTAAGATTATATTGGTAATTTTCGACCTTATGTTTTACTTTGTAAATGGTTGCTTGTAGCTTCCATTCCATTCCCCGAACCCTACAACTAAGAAAGATATTCACCAATTAAATTAAACGACTAATTAAACGATTTATTAGCATATTACTAAATCACTTCGGAATTGGCATATACACCACACATCCTGGATCAAATAAAGACTATAGATTTTAGCAGGCCGCTACTACATCCATTTCGATAGGAATTGATCTTTTAACAATCCATTCCGATCACCTCTAGAGAAACAAGTGGGCAATTATTTTCATTGCTTTTACAGAACTTCCCCTTGACCACTCAGAAGTGAGAAAAAATCAAGTAGAAAGTTGGAACAGAAAGCAAAAAATCGAGATCATTCAATACAAGGATATGAACATGATACCAAGACAAACCCATCAATTGAGGCCAAACCTAAATCTGTGCTCCAAAGATAGCTATCCATATACAGATATACTGATAAGGATTCTCGAGAAGAGAGGAGTTGAGGTGGTCCCCAAACTGGCTTGATAGCGAAAACTTCTAAATAGGTATCGAATTGAATTCACAGAGTACTTCCAGTTATGGAAGAGTGAAGAAACAATAGGGACTTAGTCAAAATGGAGCCCCCTTTTCTAACCTTCTCTTTATGCTCATTTTATTCACTTTCTCTCACTTTTCCGGTTCAAGAAGGGACACCCCATTAACATCATCCAAAACCATCCAGCTTGTAGGGCAATGGCGTTTCCTATGCTTTCTCCTTCACTATTCAATACTCTTTTTCTCACAGATCTTGTCTGGACAATGGCATCCATGGCTTCATCATCTTAAGCTTCTGCCACGCCATATCCCCGGCCGTTTATGCGCTGGAGAATGACAGCTGTATCGGCAGGAACATGGACGTTCTAGCCAGGTGGAAGGGGGAGCGGCCAGAAGTAGGAGAAGAGTTCAAGAATGGTTTAATCACATGGGAAGGAGCGTGTGATGGTCCCAAATAATAGATTTATGGATTTTCTAGATGCACATAAGCTAGGAGGGTGAATAGTTTGATTGTTTCTTATTTATTAATTATTTTTAAAATTCAATAGGCTAAACTAATGTGGTAGAAAAATGTTACAACTGTCAACGGGAAAGAAAGTGAAACTTAAAAAGAATCTATTCACATATACGTTGTGAATATTATTCTTTATTTATTATTTTAGTGGTTTTGTTTCTTTATTTTATTAAATTTTAAGTTATTTCTTTATTTTGTTAAAGTTACAAAGTTAACCATTTGTAACTTTATATGGGTTAAAGTTACATATGTGACATTTTTTAAAAGGTTACATATGTGTTTAAGTTATTTGTGAGATGTTACATGTTTGAACAACTATATATTGTTGTAGTTTTTTTTTCCTCATATGAGACATCAAGCAATTCTCATTATTTGAGTTCCTCCTCTCGAATAAGAGTTCTCTTTTCTTTTGAGTTGTTGTTCTTGTTTGTGTTGAGAGCAAGTGTCTAAAAGTTTTGCCAGATCCGARTAGTTCAAGGTTGCTGTTCTACTAGAGTTAGTCGTTGTATCCTATTGAGACGATCGTTATAGTCTGCTAACAACTTGTGCAGAGCGAATAATTGTCTTCAGGTCAGCGCTATTGAAGCGTGCCTCAACTATATTTATCAAGTTTTGGTGTGGATCAAGTTACCAGAATCTAAATTGTTTGTAGTCAATTACGCTGTAATCTATTTGCTAATATTATTCAGTTTA